AATACAAGAAACATACACCAAAAATTCAAAAATCGTTAAACAAAATCGTTCCCAGACAATTGTTTTACCATTTTTGGGCATTCCCCCTGTAGAGGGACACGCCTGACTTAACGCTGGGAGGGCCGCCGCGCCGTCGAGCGGGCCGCCGGCGGCAGGGCAGGCTGCTCCCCCCCCCCCCCCCCGGCGTGTGGCCGCCGAGCTCTGCGCCCAGGCGCCGCTGGGCGCGATTTGGTGGGGGGCCCTTTTGAGGGCCCCAAGGGCCCCTTCAGGGGGCCCCTGAAGAGTGTTCTTGAAGGGGCCCTGGGACACACAAATACATATACACAGATGACCGGATTCCCCATACTTTTCCATATGTTCTGTGTTTTCGTCTTCCCCCCCGCGTCCCATAGTTTCCCATATGTTCTTGGGAATCGACGGTGAATTGTGTCCCTGTCTTTTTAATTCCCTCCTGAGTTCTGCAGTGCCCTCGCAACCAGAACAGCTTCGCCATCGCCACATGCGCCAGACAGACACGAAAACAGAAACCTGGGAGCCCCAGAAGCCTAGGATCGGCAGGTGGCCAAGGCGTCAAACGGGAATACGAGCTTGGCAAACGGAGATGCCCAAACTGCGCCGGGCCTCAAATCTGAAACTCTACACAGACAAGGCCGCCGCAGGGGCCCCACGTCGGGCACGTCGGGCGCGGCCGGACCGACCCCTAGCAAACCATCCCCTTCCGCGACGTCACCTCCGCCCTCCTCAAGCTCCCCCCCTGGCCGCGCAACCACATCCGTCTTGGGGCGTGGCGAGGGGGGCGCCACGCGAGGGGATGGCCTGCTAGGGGTCGGGCAGGCCGCCCCTGACCACAGGGCCCCCTGCTGCAGGCCCCGCTGCCCGAGCGAGGAGCGGTCGGCTCGTCGCCGGCGGACGGCCACCGCGGCGCCGCTCCTCGGAGGCCACGCCTGCGTGCGAGGGCCGCGGCTCCTCGCTCGCGGCGGGGGCCTGCGCCCGCCCCCTACAGACAGGGACCAGGGCCAGGCTAGCGGCGATGTTGCTCGACAGTGCTACTGGGGACCCACCTTGCAGGAAATCTTGAACCACACTCTCCTGCATCTCCAATCTGCGAATGCATCGAGCGAGCACGACACAACGAATTGCAGGAACGCGCGGGCCACGCATTCCCGCAACACCGGAACCTACATCGCCGTTGCCTACATCGCCGTGAGCCCGTTCACGGGAGGGAGCTGCGGTCGGGAGCTCTTGCACAGCACGTTGCGGCGGCGGCCCCAGCGACACGCTGTGCCATGCGAGCGGATCACGTGTCGCTCCGCACTACGGGGCGAGAGGCTGGGAAGAGCTCGGCACGTGTGGGCGCCTGGGGGCCGCGAGGTGGACAGCAGTGCCGCTCCCGAGCGCGGTGGGCAGCACCCGACCGCATGCGCGTGCGCCGGCCCTCGCTGGTCTCATCCTGGGCCCTGGATGGGTACGTGCGCCCTGCTGGCTGGGCCAGGGGGGCATCCACGCTCCAGGCCCACCCTGGGCCCAAGGCTGGCGTGGCCAGGGTCGGGGTGTGTGCATACGTCGTGCCCCCGCCCTCCCCTGGCGCTTCGCGACGGCGCGCTCGAAGGCCGCCACGCCGCGCCGGTACAGCACCTGCCGCCCGGGCCTCTTGCAGCTCATGCCCTCCCCTTTCCCTGATATGCACCGTCGCAACAAGTGTCTCTGGCCGGCTCGAGGTCGGCGTGGCAATTGCCCTCGTCGACATCCATTCCCCTCGTCGTCCTCCTTCCTCCTCCCGCGCCGCCCCCTCCTCCAGGTGCCGCGCAGCGGGCAGGTCTCCGATGCCGCCGGATCCCAGCGAGCTGCTTGCGCGGCTCCGCTGACAGACGAGAGGCGCCCAGAGGACAAAGGGGAAGACGAGACTGCGGAAGTCGGTTTATCGGCAGGAGGCCCTGACGGGAGAATCTGTATGTCCGCGTCGGTGTCGTCAGCAAGAAACTGTACGCTCAGCGGTCCTAGTTCCGATCCCAAGGCGATGCGAATCCATGGCTGGCCATGTCACTGGTGACATCACAGGTCTTGAGCGATTCCAGGCCAAGATTGATTTCCAGCTGCTCGTCGTGACCCTCGGTCATGGCGAAGAGCGCCCAGAGGTCCTCGTTCTAAGCCATGAAGAGATCACCTTGTCTGCGGGCTGCTCCCGTTCTTCATGCAACTGGGATTGAGCAGGCCTTCCTTCCTCGTGCGTACTGATGCCAGAGGAGCCCCAAGTAGCGGTTCTTCTTACGAATGTCAGGACTCGCGTCCATCCGAGCGCGAAGTGGGTGACGGCGCTGCCAGCTATCCATCCACGCAAGGCCCTCTGTCCGCACCCTGTCCAGGAACGTCTTCGCGTGCAGGTTGGAGCCGAAGTTGATCGAGTAGCTGCGGTTCAGGTTGTACGCTTTCGCCTCGGCGTGCATGGCCATATGATTTGGAATCAGGTCTATAACAGCCTTCGCATGCGCATGCATCACTGAGGCCAAGATCTTGTTAGGGAACCCGCCGATCCACACCTTGCAAACATCCGAATCTGCCTGGTTCTTGGCGAGGCCGCCAACGGATGTCGCCACACTGGAGGCTGACGCACTGGACCGAGACGAGGGCGCAGTCGACGGTAGGAGTGTCATGGCTTTCAGCTTGGCGTCGAGCTTGGCCTCAAGCCTGGCCTGCAACTGCCCGAATACCGCAGACGACTGGGCTTGGTCCACCGCCTGGCACACCTGGCGCTCCTGCGGGTCCATCCTGTCATTGATCTTGGCAATGGCGGCGTCGTGCGCCTTCAGGGTCTGGTCGAGATCGGCTCTGACGGCCGTGGCTTCCTTCTTCCGATCGGCCTCCGAGTCGTCCATGCAATTCACCAGGTCAGCGAGAGCCGGCTGCGGTGCATCTTCTTGGGCGGGTCATCCACTCCGTGAGATTTGCTGTCGCCATCGGGATCGATGGGGCCTTCCTCCTTCCTCTCGTTTCCTGCGGCCGTGGGCGACGGCAAGTCGTCCTTGGCCACGTCGTACTTCAGCGGTGGCTCGCGCTCCTGCGAGGGGACGGTGGGCGAGCCAGGATGAAGAGAGCCAACGACTGGTGCACCCCCAGGGTCGAGGTCATCGGCCTCCAGCACCCCGTAGGCGTCGGGAGAACCCTGGGACCCGTCGTCGCCCATGCTAGGGTCCTAGTTGGCCGACCCCTTCTCAGTCGCGGTAGCCTTCTCATCATCCGGGTCGAGAACACAGAGCGTCTTATGCTGTGGTCCATCAGGGTGGACTTCAGCAGCGGCAGCAGCGCCTCGCTTCCGTCGGCGATCTGCCCACGGATCCTTGGCGCCTAGCGGGTCGTAGCCGTTGTCCTCGTGTGTCTTCTGCCCTTGTCGGAACCGTCCTTGCCGTTCTTGCCGCCTTGTCTCCCCCTGGCCGGCGTAGATCTGCGTGGGCAGCATGGACTCCGGAGCAGGGCCGAAGGGCGACGGCTGGGCGCGCTCTGAGCTCCCTCCACTGCGCAACCCTGCAGGCATCGGGGCTGGCTCTCCAGGCCATCGCTCGGACGTCCATTCCCTGTGCTTTTTTTGGTTTCGTGCGTGGTTTTTCGCCAAATGATCAAGGATCCTCCTCGATGGTCCTCGCCGCGAAAGAAATGCACACGTCCGAGCGATGCCAGGAGGACTGACCATCGCAGGACCGACTGGTCTGACGCGCGTGGCGTCGGGCAGGAGAGGAGCTGAAAGGTGCCCGCAGGCGCACGACACGCTGGACCGCTCGCAAAGGAGAGCTGCCCGCTCGCATGGGACCCGATCCCACTTGAGCCAAGATGGCAACGCAGGAGGAGGAGGAGGAGGAGGAGGAGGAGGAGGAGGAGGAGGAAGGGAAGGGAAGATGAGGGAGACAAGGGCGGAAGGCGGGTGAAGCGGAAGGAGGGAGGAGAAGCGAGGATAAAGGGCGAGGAGGAGGAGGGGGGCAGGAGAGAGGAGGGTGAGAGAAGAGAAGGATGAGTGGGAGGAGGACGAGGAGGGAGAGGCGAGCAGGAGGAAAAGGTGGATGAGGAGGAGGAAGAAATCGAAAGAGGAGGAGGGAGCATGGAGGAGGAAAAGGGAGGCAGAGCGATGAGGGAGGTGGACGATGAGAATGAGGGGATGGAGAAGACGAAGATACTGATGATAACCAAAAAGAAATAGGCCGACAATGAACGAGGAACCTGTAGGAGACAGAGGGTGAGAAGAACAAAGGGAGAGGTGGTGGAGGGTGGTGAGCAGAAGGCCCGTGTCTCTGCTCACGTCTGCACATCCGCCAATGACAAGCACTGGCCGAGAACCAAACGGGGAACTCTTGCGCGAAGCTTCAGCGTCCATACCCCCTACACACGCCGCGCTCATGCCCGCGCCGTACACGTGCACGCGCGCGGCCCAGAAGAGCTGACAATCGATATGCATGGAGCCCGCGCGTCTGTGGCGCAGGCTCCCCATGCTGAGTGCATGCTGGGGGCGGTGCCAGCTGTGATCCAGCGACGCCCCGCGGCCAGAGGCAGCGAGGACGAGGATGAGGACGAGGATGAGCGGGGAAAAGAGAATCGGGCGGAAGGGTCTCTCCTTGAACGGCGCCCCCCCGGGGGCGCCCAGCATGGGGGCGACGCGAGGGGGGGCGGTCTGAGGGGGCGGCTTTCTGAGAAGCCTCGGAAGACGCCTGGGGTCTTGCCGTCGAGGCAAGGGGCTTGTAACCGTCCGAGAGTCCCCAGGGCAACCATGAGAGGCCTCCTGGATGGGGTCCGAGCGGATGGGGTCGGAGGATCTCGCCGCATCGCCGATACGTCGGCGCTGCAGCGCCGATGCATCGGCGATGCGCTGGCGGCGACGGCGATGCATCGGCGACGTCGGCGTGGAGAAAATTGTGCCCCACATCGAGCCGCATCGCCGATGCATCGCCGATGCATCGGCGATGCGGCGCGATCCTCCGACCCCATCCGCTCGGACCCCAGCTGGGAGGCCTAGACCC